AGCGAAACTACTATCAGAATTTAAAATAATAATAACAACATGGGAATAAGACGAAGACTAGTCGTATTAATATTTTTAAATATTGTGACAAACAACCTGTGCAAATCGGAACCACCTATTTTACAAAACCAACAAACAGACCCAGTTGATACTCCAGAACCCACAGCGCCCACCACCACACCCGGCCTACCAGACAGACCGTGCAAAAAAAACTCCGACTGTATTGATAGAGCGCAGGGCGACTACAAGTGGCGGTGCGTTGACCAGCAGTGCGTTTGTGCTATTAATTTCAAATACAACTCGACGGTTAACGCGTGCCAGTACTACGAGTGCCAGCAAAACACCGATTGTGACCAAAATGACGGCGACACTGACCGGGTGTGCGATAGGGGAGAGTGTGTTTGCCCTCAAAACTACAATTATAACTACGAGAACTCGCGGAATGGGCACAAATGCATGAGCGAGTTCAATTTGCCTAACTTTCCCAATGCACTTTGCACCGCCATGAGCTGGATCATTGGCGGTGTGTCCGGCATTGTGGCCGTACTGGTGATGATCATCGCGTGTCTGGTGTGTCGGTGTCGCGAACGCCGCAAACTCTTTGACAAGTTTGGCAAAGAAAACGTGTTCGCAATCGAAGGGCCGCCCGACGGGCCTGTCATGGGCTACACCGGGAGCACTGGGTTGGGTCCGGCGCCGCCTTATATGGAGCCCGGCTTTAGTCAGACCGACTTTGAGGAGATATCAGTGGACGGGGAAAAGGAAAACGATGAAGGTCTACACCGTAGACACGCTTTTAGGCTAATGAGCTCGGGCAAATTGGAGAATATTGATGGTCAATCTGGGATCGAGAGTCAGTCTATCACCAGCTCCTGTGGCTCCGGGAGTGTAGAGGTAGTGCCAGAGTTGCATCACTTTGAGGACCGTTTACCCCGATCGGGCAAATTGGAAAATTTAGACATGCAGTTGTAATTGTAATTTTTGTATGTTATCTTTGTTGATTGTTTATGTCATTATTATTTTAATTAATTACGATATTATATGATCTTTAATTATAAGTCAATATGATGAATGTAAATTTTAATTTATAGTGTTGTTTAATTAAAAACTAAATGTAAAATTTAGAAAGTTTAAAAAAATAGTTGTTATAACAAAACTGTAAATTAATGTATTTATATCAATAAAATAAGTTATTTGTTAGTTAATTCCATATTTTTGTAAAAGGCCATTAATTGCTGTTAATTTTTTTAATATATTGTTTATTGTTTATGTGATTATTATTTTAAATAATTAATTATATATTTAAATTTTTTAAATTAATTGTTAAGAAATATGATAAATGAAATCAAAAAATAATAATTTAAAAAAATTATGTATTGTCTAATGATATAGTAAATGTATTAATTATTTATATTGTCTCAAACATATTTGTGTTTATAGTGAAGCTGTAAATTAATTTGTAAAATAAAATAGCATATGAAAAGTGTAATTGAATTCAAAATATTTGGTTTCCGGTAAACGCCCTAGTTATATATTTAATATTTTTAAATTATTAAAATCTTGATTAATTGCAAGAATATATTTTAATAATAACCATGTATAATATGATGTTATAAAATAATAATTTTTTACAATAAAGGACCATATGCATTGTACAATATAAATATTTTATATAATTAATTAATTAAAATTAGCAGTTTTATCATTCTTATAGGTTAGATGTTTTTTACAATTAAACATTATTTATAATGAATATGCAATTTGTTCAAAATTATAATTTAATTAATAGGTATTTACGGACCCAAACCATTGTGATCTCAGTCAACACAATGTTCTCGAATTATTATAAAAGTGATAGATCAAATGTCTTATGGGGCATATAGACAACATTTCTGAAGACTTATTATCATGATCCATCACTTGGTCCATAATAATTCGAGAACATTGTGACATTTTTGCAATTCAATAAGTTCTTAATTATTAAAAAATATTTAATATATAACTAGAGCATTTTCGGGGAAACCAATTATTTTGAATTGGATTGCACTTGTCATATTTTATTTTACTTTACAAATTAATTTACAGCTCCAACTGAAAGCCGAGCAAAATGTTATTAGCTAAATTATTATAAAAATAACTTAATCTGATGATTTAGTTATTGAAAATAAATCACAAATATTAATTAAATTGTTTAATAATCCCTTTTTAAGAAACAATACTGTTTAATTAAAAAATTTTACATCAAGATAAGATAAAAATTGCACTTGAATTCAATGCTATTTAATAAAGAATAATCAGTATTATCAGTATTAATTGTATTATGCTTCTACATAAAATGAATTTCATAATGGTCTACACAATATTAATGCAATATACAATAAAACTTATCATTAATGTAAAATAATAATTTTATTATAACATAACAAATCCATTTCGTAGAATAACCAACATAAATGAACAAATGCAATGAGATAATAACCATGTGGTAACTAATCATAAGAACAACAGTATGTTGCCAGTACTGGATAATTGTTGAATTAAACTTAATTTGTGATTAATATAAACCTTTGAATCAGTATAAAAAGAGTTTTTATAATTATATTTAGTGCTATATTGTTATTATTTAATTCAGTTATGTAGTAAATTGAGTTGATTATTGTTTGACAAAATAATCTTGATTGTGTTAAGTGAATCGAACTCTCGTATGTATTATACTGTATAATTAGCAATTGTATATTGCTCTTTACCAAGTCTTTAACAATAAAATCACGTCCTATGTTATATCTTAAATTTTATTTATATTAGTAAAATAACTGATTTACTTATGACAAATATACCTGTTACAATTATAAGTTGTTAGGTTTTATAGTGTGATGTAAAACATTTTAAATATGTATTTAAATAATAATTTAATTAATTAATAAATACATAACTAAAGTAATAAACAAAAGTGAAACAATTAAAACTATCTATAAGAGATATTTAAGAGTTTCAACATGATTGGCATTAAACACCTAACCGTGCTCATATTTATCTCTATTATGACAACCAGCTTGGGTGAGCCGGCACCACATACCTCAAAAGAGAACAAAAATGATCTAGTTCAAGCCACTAAAGCCACAGTGTCTACCACCAGCCCAACCATACCATACAAACAATGCAATAACACCGTCGACTGTATGAATAAAACACGGGGTGATTACAACTGGCGGTGTCTAAACAACACTTGCATTTGTGGCATTAATTTCAAGTACAACACGACTCTAAACACATGCGAGTACTACGAGTGCCAAAACGACGCCGAGTGCGGGACAGGTGGCGACCAATTGCGGGTATGCGAAGGGAGAGAGTGTGTCTGTCATACGGGTAGTGCGGGGATCATGTACAACGAGGACTCCAGGAATGGTCACAAATGCTATTATCGCAGTGCCGGCGATGACGGGTGCGATGCCGTCACGTACATCATTGGCGGATCGGCCGGTTTAGTGGCTGTACTACTCATAGTCATCGCGTGTCTGGTGTGTCGGTGTCGCGAACGGCGCAAACTGTTTGATAAATTTGGCAAAGAAAATGTGTTTGCCATCGACGCCCCGCCCGGGCCTGTCATGGGCTACACCGGGAGCACTGGGTTGGGTCCGGCGCCGCCCTATACAGAGCCCGGCTTTAATCAGACCCACTTCGAGGAGATATCGTTGGACACGATTGACGTGGAAGTGGAAAACTCACCGCACCTTCACTCACAATACGCGTTTAGGTTAATGAGCTCGGGCAAATTGGAAAATATTGATGGTCAATCTGGACTCGATAGTCAGCTCACCGCCAGTTCCTGTGGCTCCGAGAGTGTAGAGGTAGTGCCAGAATTGCATCACTTTGAGGACCGTTTACCCCGATCGGGCAAATTGGAGAATATAGACATGCAGTTGTAATTGTAATCTCTGTTTGTAATTTTTATTGATGGTTTATGTGATTATTTTAGTTAATCAAGTTTTGTTATTTTTAATTATAAGTCAATATGATAAATGTAAATTATAATTGGCAGTGTTATTAATTAAAAACTATATTAAATTTAGAAAGTTATTTTTAAAAATAGTTGTTATTATAAAACTGTAAATTAATGTATTTATATCAATAAAATAAATTATTTGTTAGTTAAGTTAATATTTTTGGTCAAGAAAGCTAAAGAGTTATTTTTTAAAAATATATTAGGTGTTGACAATGACAGGTGCTCTCAATCTGTGGCCGTTTTAAATGTAAATCACAATCCATAACAATAGTTTAAATCTATTTCAGTACAGAATTATTACTTATTAATTAATTAATTAGCTATTATTATAAAGCAATTAATTTCCGTTTTTTTGCTGTTTTTAACGTAAAATTAATTGATAATTAACTCATCGATAATTATTTTAAAGCAATTTTATTTTTGACTTATGAGCGCTAAAATTAAAATATTATTTAAATAAATTTAATTGTATTTTGAATCATTACATTAAATATTAATAATGTTAATAAACATTTGTTAAAAATTTGTATAAAATTGTAAACTAAAATTCAAGTTTTTAAGGTTTTCATGGCTAAACTCAGATTTTGGTAATGATTAAATAAGTTGATTGTTAATTCTATAAATATTAGTAAACTGTACATTAATTTATTTATTGTATTAAAATATAGAATTTATGCGTAAAATAAATATTTTTGGCCTAACCACAAATTAGCAGGTAATACATATTTTAATATTTTAATTTTATTTTCTATTTTAATAACTAACTTAGTAATTATAAGTTATACAATAAAAATATTTGCTAACAATTAACATATATTATGTAAAGAATAGAATAAAATATACAATTAACAAAAACATGACTACAAATTAGATATAAAATATAATATGGCACAAACAAACTTTATTTATAAAAATAAAATTTAAATAAGAGACATGCAATTATTGCCACCAAAACTGAAGTTAAAACACAAATAAACACGTGTTTCAAGTGTTGTCAGCGGCCATCATTTCGGACCCGATTGCGGGCCAATTGTAACTCAACACAACTGAGCACGTATTGGGGCAGTTGTGCCATCTCTGTAAACAACTTTTTCATCTCGATCAGACATTTCTTGAGACCAATTACCACCTCGAGCTTATTCTTAGCGCCTTTTAGTGCCTCTCCTACCAGTTTGATACTGTCGTAGGCCTCGGGTTGTTTACCTACCAGTGCCAGACTAGTAGACTGACCACCAGGTTTTAATTGCCTTTCATACATGTAATTTGTGTTGTAATAGTTGCACATCAATTCAGTTACTTTAATTGTTAGGATGCGATGTTTGGCTAAAATTACCATCAATTCATCAATCATTGACATCGAGTGTCTGCCTATTGATTGCATACAATCCTCTTTAATATTCAATTCATGCCTTGTTTTAGCGCAATATTCAAGAATTGTTGCTATAATTTGCACAGCTGATTCTGGGTTAATTTATAATTAATTAATTAATAAGGGGTTCACATAAAATATTATTTAAAGAGGTTATATTAGATTTAATAATTACCTTTGGTGTTTCTGCGACACAATAAATTTTCATAAAAATTTAATGCGAGTCCTGTTTCGTCGACATAACCCTTGATGTCGTCCACTTGTTTGCAAAATTCAAAGTTCTTCAATGTAATCATTCAAAGTTTTCACCACGTTTTCAAACACATCATCATTGTTTACTTGATCCTTAAATAATAGATATAACATTTACAAATTGGCATATATAAAATTATATTAACTAATTATAACAATGTTTCTACAACATAAAAAGGATTTTTATAAAATATAGATACCATGAGTTCAACTGTTGCCATGTTGTATGTGTTGACACTTCTTGATATAAAATTTAATTTGTAAAAACATTAAAATAAAAGTAAAATTCAAATTCTTTTTGAAACATTATTTTAACTGAATATAAGTTTTAAATTACAATTATAATTATATAACATATATTTTGTTGTGTTAAGTAAATTGAAACAATGGTTTTAAATTATAGATTTTTAAAATTGCATTTATATCGCGAGATAGAATTACAATAATTGTTTTACAAAGAATATGATATATTAAATAACAACCATGTATAAATATGTATAACACTCTTATAACAAACATAATATAAACATTTAACTAACTTAAATCAACATTCCCAGCCAGATCACCACCATCTGCAACAAGTATCGCACCTGTTACAAACTGTGCATGGTCACTGGCTAAATACATTATAGCGTTACCAATATCTTCAGGCACTCCATGTCTGCCCACTGGATATCTATCGCTCACTTTCTGGTAGAACCTATCGGTGTCTTCGGGCGCTTCACCACGTGTTGCGCGCGCTGTTGTCCGCACAGCACCCGGGCTTTCATTGGGTTTGATTTAATTACAATTAGTTTCAAAATAAAATATAATTACAAGTTAGGTATTCATTGAAAACACAAACCTCACTGTATTAACCCGAATGCCTTTAGGCCCTAACTCGACAGCCGCACACTTTGTAAACATGTCCAGGGCACTTTTCGTCATACAATACCCTGACAAGTTAGGTGTCTGATCAATAAAATTAAATATTAATGTTACTTTTGTGCAATAATGTAATATTAAAATAAATAAATTTTTATTTAATTACTGCTTGATTGGCGGAAATGCTTGAAATGTTAATAATATTGCCATTAGTTTTGGTCAAATGCTCGACAGATAATTGTGTCAAAAGAGTGGCTGATTTAACGTTAGCGGCAAACATATCGTCTAATTTTTGGCCAAACTGTGGATCAGTTATACCGGCGCTGAGACCATAGCCCGCGTTATTGACCAAAACGTCGAGTCTATGAAACGCCTTAACCGTAGAGTCGATGAGTTGTTTGCAATCAACTTTTTTGCTCACATCTGCCGTCACTTCCAGTGCTGTCAACCCATTGGGCGATACGTCTGTGCACTGCTTCCCGACTGCACTGACTCTCTGTGGGTTACGTCCGGTCACCACAACCTGTGCTCCCGAACGGGCGAACCCAACAGCAGTGGCCGCACCGATGCCGGCGCTCGAGCCCGTGATTAACACTACTTTATCACTAAAATCATAGAACGCGGACATTTTGGATGTAATTAAATTAATTAAATAAGTTTTAACTAAAATAATACAGAAAACAAATATATTTATATTATAAATTATATAACAATTTTATATAAACAAATTGCGAAGGTCATATTTTTGTTATCAGGGATAGAGAATTAATGCATTTTATTTATCAAATCTGATTCACCTTAAAAACTTGAATTTAAAATAATAAATAGTCTATTTAAAATAGATATTTCCATTTGTAATAAATAACAGGAATAATAAAAATTAAATAATTAATATTGCATTTTTATTCTAACATTTAAATAACACATTTAGAAATATTTTGCCGCATACGATTTTACCACATCATTATTTACCAACAGAGATTATAAATGATAAATGTTATTAAAAAACAAGTTATTAATATTAAAAATATTATAGATGATACATTGTAGGATATATAATATACTTCAATAAACGAAATAAATTTATCATATTCATTAAAAAATAGTATTTGTGACGAGCAAACGGATCCATTTAGCACTCGGTGCTCGTCTTGCGGTCCATATGCGGTCCATAGACCGCGTGATGTCTTGATAGGTGGGCCGTCATGGCATGCGTCGGGTCCTACTGCCTGTTGGGCCGTCAGGGCGTACTCCTGGTCTCCGGTATAATCGGAGACCCAAAGCAAATACAGGCTTAGGATCGACACAATGTTTATTACAAGACAACTGAAACAATACTAACTCCAGACTCTGTATTACTGCGAGTCTTATATAGGGTGTGTACAGAGTGTGTGGTCAGGGATTTTTCATATACAGTAGTGAGGGAATAATCCCTGAACTAATAGAAAGTTACAAAATAGTGAGTATACTGTTTCTAAAGTGTAGGGAAAAGCGTGGTCTGAGACAAGGGTTCAGTTTCCACATCATATATTGATACAATTATTGCAGAACTATAAGTAATGCATTGATTAGCTAAACTGAATAAAATGTTATCTGATAATGGGTTTGTTACAACGAACAATATGAAAATATAATGTACATTATCAATACATAAAAAGTTATTACAAATACAAAATGTAATTTCAGTATCATAATTATTTTTAAATAAAATACAATTTTTTTACCAGCTATAACAGTTTAATATTAATAACCCATTAACTGCCATGATTTTACTTAAAAGTATATTAACACTAATTGTGATTAGTTTAAATTTAGTATCATCAGTGTATTGTGATAGTGTACCTGAAAATGTGAATGCTACAATAATAATCATTGTATTTGTGGCGCCCATTGGCATCATAATTGCTGTCATTACATGTCGTTTCTGTTGCCAAAGCCTTAACCGATGGGTCAACGATGAAATACCGATTAATAACCACAATATACAAACACCGGGCACATCATACGGGACAATACGGTATATTAACGCAACACCAGTAGTACGGGGCCAACAAGTGTCGGCACATTATAATTACATACCTCAATCAATATCGGCTACACAATTACGAGAACCAGCTTGGTCACCACAACCAGCTCGATCATCATCACCTCCACCACCGCCGTATGAAACTGTCAAACATGGTGTTTCATATTCCAAGATTTAAAATTAATCAAGTTCATAATTATTAGTATTATTATTTGCAATATTAATAAATATCATTATTACTTTGTATTATAAAATATATTTTACCGACGTGTTGAAAATTAAACTTAAAATTGAGTTCACTCTCTTGTGCTTCCGATATTAATTGATAATTTTACAATGTATAAATTCTAATATAAGTCTTATATTTAATTACAGTATACACCAGTATTAAAATGTATGATTATTGTTTTTAAATATTGCAATTAATTTTTTCTTAAAAAATAGTATTGTAAAACATAAAACATATTATTACCAGAATTTTGATTTAATGATTAATTATTTAGTTATTAGATTTTATTAATATTACAAAAAAACTAACAAACATACATCATTTCCTACTGTATATTGTAGTAAACAGCAATTACATAACATTGATGAATAATAATGTTTTATTTATTTGTACATACATTACATTAAACGTCATACAATAGTAAACATACTGAAAATGTATAGGTATAAGATATTACATTCATTAATAGAAACCAATCTAGTAAATAGTTATAGCAACCAATATAAAATATATTGCACATGATTAATGCATTGTAGTCACCATTTATAATTTATAAGGAGATATATGTTTATTATAAACGTTTTTATAAATTATTTATATGCATTATTTTTATTATAATTAATTAAATACCTTAATTATATTATTCTTATTAACCATGATTTCACTCAAAGAAATAATAATAACAATCGTGATCAATTTATATTTAATATCATCAGTAAACTGCGATATTCATTCCAATGATAATTCATCATTGTTCTTTATGTTTTTCATAATACCATTCATCATAATTATAGTCATTTGCTGTCGATGTTTGTGTCAAAGACATGTCCGGCATCACGACAACGATGTCCTAATCATCAACCAATCGGGAACTCTCAGAGCGCAGGGCACTTCATACGGCACAACTGAACCACATTACTACCCCGCACCACCCGTACACGGTCACAATGTTACACACGGGCCAACACACGGGCCAACACACGGACCTACACATGGTCCTTATGTACCTGCGCATCATGGACCCACACATGGTCAGCATTTGGACGTACATGGTCTTATTAGTCCCTCACATGGCCATCACGTACCTACACATGGTAACCACGGGCCCACACATGGTCATCATGGACCGACCCATGGTCATCACGTGCCCACACATGGCCCCATACACAGTCACACCCGACCCCCATCACCCCCACCCCCTTATCAAACACAGGATGTAAATAATCCCAACGTATTGATCAGTCCAATGGCTAACTTTAATTGATGATGTTTTTAATGCTCGTTTAATTGCATTGTTTTGTATATAATATGTTTTTAATATAAATGTTTTATTATGGGCGTATTTAATTTAATATCAAATCCAAAAAAACAATTTTTCTAACTTTTATAAGTTATAAGATATTTATCAACAATTTATCTCACTTATCATGTAATATCAATTTATTTGATGCTAAAATATAAGTGAAACAAAATAAATGATAATTAATTTGAATTTGGGTTTTATTTGTTTGATAACAAATACCTTTGTACACTAAAACTAACAATAATTTATTATTACTTTTGTCAAACAAAGAAAATTGATAATCTATTTGATCATTTTACTTTGTATTGCATTAAACAAAACTCTATGAAAAATATATTTATTGTGACCATAAATAATTTAGATAAGTAGAAAAATTATACAGGAAATATTATAATTTATATTTAAATTATCAAACATTTATTGGTACCATAGTCAAACAAATGCTAATTAAATATCTTATAATACGAATAGTTCTAACGTATTTTATTTAAACATAGAATACAATTATGTATAAATAAACAGTTAGGTAAATCTTAACAAACTGAATACATTTATAATAATTTTTGTGTATTATACAAAATACCATAATTGTAAAAATGAATCTAATTTTTATCATTCTAACAGTTATATTAGTTATTTTGCATTTAATATCAACAGTAAATTGTTATACAGATAGCGATAATATCAGTGTATCAATAACTATAGTTTGCTCAATATTAATATTAATTATAATAATTGCATTGTGTTATTGTATGTGGGTACATCGAGATCTGTGCCGTAAATATTATATGCCGACCATTAATTGTCCAAGAAATTTACAAGCACCAGGTAGATGTTATGGCACCTTACTACATTATAACCAATTGCAACCAGTTCATGATCAATATTTGCCTGCTCATGGTAATTACCGGACGCCAACACCACCTCCGTCATATCAGGAACATAATGAAAACAATCTCAACAAAATAAATAATCCCATGTCCATTTATCATTAATATACCTTGTTGTTTGTAAATGCAATGAATAGTTTAATAGTTATTATATAATTTAAATAAGTAATACTTTAAATACTTATTTATTAATTTTTTAATCAAACCTGTAATTTATTTTAAATGACTGGAATAAACATGGTAACTATTTATTTTTTGGTTTTTATTGGATTAAAGTTCGCGTTCGTATTTAATGTAGGATTTTTTTTGTTGCTTAAATTTAATAAAAACCAAGTTAAGTTAAGATTTTAATCTATCTATTTTTGTTATAAATTATAATTTAAGGGAAATGAGAATTACACACATATTATCATAATTTCTATAGGAACTACCGTTATTTTATTATACCCTTTTGTTAACATGAGCAAAAATATGCAATAACACACCTACGTTTACCATATTCACTTAATCATTAAGAATTGCAACAACACAGCAATAATAGTTTACTTGTAATTATTACCAAGTATATAATTAACTAGCCATGATTTTAATTAAGAACATGCCACTTATAATTGTAGTTATTGTATACTTAATCACAACAGTAAAGTGTGACGATGGTGATAATACGGTGTATTACATCATCATAATAGTGCCCTCACCGGTAGGTCTATTCATTTGTTGCCGTTATTTATGCCGATCTAAACGTCGCGATCCCGAGACTCAAGTGCTGATCATTGAAACCGTTGAAACGGGTGAACCGGCTCTACAAACACCGCACCCGTCGTACGGCACAACAGCACCCGATGGCCTCGAATGGTCGGGCAATGAGCAAGGTGGTGGTGGTGGTGGTGGTGTTGGTACTGGTTATAAACCTCCCTCACCCCCGCCTCCTTACAAAGAGCGTGCTGAAAACAATACCGAAGTGCTCATAGATCTTGTTAATTAATTAAAAAAATTAATGATGCTACATTTTTGTGATAATGTTATGATAAGAATAATGCTTGTTTTGGTAATTAGTAATTACAACGATTGGCAAATGAATCAATGAAATAAATTTAAAAATATTAGCAAATTTCTATTCAAAAATGTTAATAAAATATAGATTATTTTTTATATT